GGGGGGGGGGGGGGGATGCCAGGTCCAGCGTGTATATAGACTCATCACCAAGATCAAAGAGGTGGAGGGGCCGGTGACCGAGAAGGCCAAGGAGTTTAACAATCGATACTGACAATCAGGTGGGTGAGCACCCACACACAGACACACGGATGGATGGATGGATGGATGGCAGACACGTGCGACCGCGTGTGTGTGTCTATGTGGGTGTGTGGTGCAGGTGTGCGCCGTATGGGCCAACATATTCAGCATCAAGAATCTGCTGACAATCGCGGCTGACACACTCCAGAAGGCCGCCGCGGGGACCCAAGAGCTCACGGTGAGCGCTACATATCTCTTGTTCCACAACACACATGACACACTCTGTCTGTGTGTGGGGCGGGGCGTACGTGTATGTCAGGTGTGTATCCAGGAGGTACTATAGACGTAGATATTGACGAGGCATACTCAAACCTTACGCAGACAGCCCAGCAGGAGCAACACACATACACACATAGGCACACCGCAACACATGCATACCATACACGACCTCTTGCCTATGCCACCTATGCCACCATGCCATCTTGCCTATGCCACCATCCTTCCTGCATTATGTTTTTTGGATCGGATATCATGGATGTGGGGCTAGGCTGTTTGGCTGTCTGACTGTCTGACTGTCTGTCTGTCTGTCTGGCCTCTCGGCTGTTTTGCCCTTTCGCCAAGCTATCGATCAACGGGCAGAGAGACTATTCATTATCGCTGCTTGCATTTTATATCGTGAAGTCTCTTCGGCAAACAAAGAGGTTGACAGGCTTGTCGATGTCTGCCTTAGTTTGTGTTTCTGGTATCCGTCTCCCTTGCTTGAGTGCTCGTGTGACCACACGTGCTTTGCCCGGAGACTCTTGTTGCATCACGACGTTGCACCGGCTCTTTGTGTAACGGTTTCATTCGTGTGGTTTTGGCAAGCACCTTGAACGAGCGATCACAGTCAGTCAGTTTATCTATCCATCGAGCGTATGATACACTCACTCGTCCCGCAGACAAACATGTACGTACGCCCACACCCATTCATCACACCACATGTACTAGACGTATATAGCCATTAACGCACACATGCACTCACTATACAGACAGACAGCCAGCCAGACAGACAGACAGCAGCCACGCAATATTAATGTTCCGTTTGTATCGGTCATCGATGGGTCAGTCAGGTCTGAATGAATCAGTCGGTCGAGAAGATACTCACAGCTACTCGATGATGTTGATGCCGAACGCACCTGCATTCACACGTCAGTATGTCCACACAAGCCTGTCCACACAAGTTAGCGCTTGAAGGACAAAATGCTCACACACACACACATACACACGCACACACACCTAGAGAGAGGGCGGGGGCAGCATGTGACCTATGATTCATCTCACTTCTTCAGTCTGTCTGTGTCTGCGCTGTCCCTTCCTGGCCACAGCTGGAGGCCAAGAGGCTGGCAAACGAAAATGCCGCACTGAAGGCAAAGATCGCCAAACTTGAGGAACAGGTTGTCTGTGTGCATGACAAAAGCCGCAAAGTGCATTTGGTGACACGGCAATGCTGATAACCCCTGAACGGTGGTGACTGGGTTTCTGGGTGTATCATACTATCCTCTGCCCTCTCTGTCTGTCTCTACCCTGTCTGTCTGTCTGTCTGTCTGTCTGTCTGTCTGTGTTGTGTGTGCCGTGGCTGGAATGATTGGATGGTGTGACCGCCACTCATCTCGTCAGTGAAAAACAGTGAATACACGCCATGCATCCTTGCACTGATTCATCTGTCCGTCAGACGATTCAAGTCAGCCAGCCGCCCCCCAATGCCGATTCACCACCCCCCGTCCCCCCACCCACCACCCTTCCAGTCGGTCGACAGCCACCTCGCGACGCCTCTCGACGCAGACAGACGGGAAAGAGAAAAGGCAATAGACGTGGGCAGCAATGCATGGCTTCCCCTGCCCTTATGTGTCGTGTGCGCACCTATGTCAGATGTCCAATGGCCGGCCACCCATCTTGTTGCGGGCCTTGGCCACTGCCTCATGAAGGCAGCAGGACCATCGACGCCCTGCTGGGGCGCCTCGTTGGTGTCGAGGTACATGTCTGCCGCCCACGACAGTACAGACTGTACTTGGTCATCTCGATGAAGGCCAGGAAGTCATCACGAATCGGCGGGAAGCGCCGATGATGGTGAAGTAATTGGTGAAGTCGATGGGCGGCGGCTGGTCCATCAGGGCAGACACTCGGCAGAGCGCGAAAGAAAGATTGGTGACCGTGGTTCTCCAATGCACTCACAGACTCAACGCGCAGTGTGTCAACCTGATTCATTGGCTGAGCAAGATCTGACGAGAGGGACCATAGCGAGAAGATGCGTTCCCCCGCGATCCAGGGCAACTTCGTAAATTTTGTACGCCAACGGCGAAGGAGAGGGCGCGACTTCCGTTTTCTCTCGGTAACGTCACGCCCCGGCATGGACAAGAGCATCAGTCGGGAAGAGCGGGACCGCGAGTTCCTTGACAAGACGGAGGAGATTGCTCGTCAGGAAATTGAGAAGCGGCTCCAGTTTGCCGCAGGTGGGGATGCATTGAGAGCACCGACCTGCACACATGAGAGAGGCGGGCGGGGCGGGCAGGCTGCTTCCACTTGATCCATACGTTCTGGGCATGCTGCGTTTGTGTGTGTTGCAGATCTGGCCAAGTATGATGCCATCCAGCTTCTTCAGCTCTATAGCGAGAGGGAGCATTTGCAGGGTGAGAACGAACGTGGTCGTTCATGCGATTGATATACAAATAAATACACACACATCTGTCCGTCTGTGTGGGCTTTATGGCGTGCAGCCGAGTGCGAGTGGTTGCAGGCGCGGTGCAAGTACGACAGTGAGCGCATCGATGCGTTACGAAACAACATGGAGATCGCCAAGTCCAATCAGGTGGGCTACTTCTACGGTGCATATGTCGGACGAGAGAAGAGGCGTCGACGGCCCGAACGGCACACCTGCTCATCTGCCTACCTGCCTGCTTGTGGGTGGCTGTACGATGCGTGTGCGCAGGCCAAACTCGTCAAAGCCGTCGTCGCCGCCAGGGTCAGTATTCTGGAATACACACACACACGCACACACACGCACACACACGCACACACACGCACACACACGCACACACACACACGCTGAGAGAGAGAGAGAGAGAGGCAGGCGGGGGAAGCATGTGACTTATGATTCATCTCGCTTATTCTGTCTGTCTGTGTCTGTGCGTCCTGTCCCTTCTTGGCCACAGAAGCAGACCAAAGAGGTCGAGAGCGAGATCGCCGCGCTGAGGGCCAAGATAGCCGAGCTGCAGGAGCAGGTACATTAATTATGTCACATCAACGTACCGACACCACAGCCAGCCAGCCCACACAAAGGACTGTTTACATCACCAACCACAAATATGCACGTGTGGTTTGACAGCTGGCCCGGTCGACTGCCTCCCCGCCCCCTCCCTCACTCGCCCCGTCCTCGCCTTCTCCCCAGCCCCACAGCCTGCAGGACGCCGGCGTCCAGGCGCACCCGCACGGCAAGGCCAATGGCATGCAAGTGCACCCACATGTGGTGGAGGGGGGAACCAGCACGGCCGTAGGCGATCAGTCCGCATCTCTCTGCGCCATGGAAACCAAGACGGAGGTGGCGTCCAAGGAGCAGGGCGTCAACGTGCGGCCGTCCTTGCTCACCGTTGAGGTCGGCCCTAGTGTGCCAATGGTGGAGGGCAACCCGTGCAGCAATCCACGTGTGCGGAACCGATACGAAGTACAAGCCATGCCAATGGCCGGTGGCAGGTACGAAACAGACACACACACATAGACAACTTCTGCACACGTTCGTTTGTGTATGTGTGTGTGTGTGTGTGTGCAGCTTTGGGAATGTGTGGCGGGGCACTCAGAAACGCACGAAGAGACCTATCGTCATCAAACGGCTGTGCAAGATGAAACAAGAGTACGCCTGCGATCTGTTCGAGTAACTTGTGTCACGTGCCACCATCCATTCATCAATCAGGGCCGTGGCGGATGCCGTTGAGACTGCTCAGGTGTATGGAGCCATCTGCAAAATCGTCTCTCCCTCTCTGGCCACGGTCATCGAGGTGGGTGGGATGTGGGAGGGGTGGGAGGGGTGGGCGGCCCATCTGTGTGTGTGTGTGTGTGTCGTGCAGGTGTTGTATGACTCGTCGTACTTCTTCATCGTGATGGAGGACGTTGCGGGCCGCGACGTGTCCGCTCTTGTGCAGCTGTATATCGACCAGAAGCGGTCGGTGCCTAACCACCAGTGCCAGTGGATCGCACTCGGACTGCTCGAGGCACTCGACCGACTGCACACAGCCAACGTGGGTGCTCTGGATGGACAGCGGCAGCCGTTAGTGTGTGTGTGTGTGCCGCAGCTGGTGCACCGAGATGTCAAGCCCAACAACATCAGGTGGACCCCGCAGGGCTGCAAGCTGATTGACTTCGACGAGTGCATGTTCGTCGGTCGGCCGCCGACCGCTTCAGGACGAGCCGAGAGAGAGGGCTTCCTCCCGGGTACTGGCGTTTTCCGGGTAAGTCGGTCGGCCGACAAGTGACTGCACGGCGCAGAACGGAACTACTTTTGATGTGTGTTGCCTGTCCTTGCTCAATTGGCTGGATGGCGTCCGTCAGGCCCCAGAGGTGCACTTAAGAGACGGATAAGGCGAGGAAATGGAGCCCTGCTAGCGACATCTGGGCGGCTGGAGTTAGCTTGTAAGCAACCGAAGGCACGTACACACACACAGAGATTCTGGCTGCCTGGTGGGTGTAGGTACTTGGTGTGTTTCAGCGGGAAGAGCCCCTTCAAGGACATCGACAAGAAGAGGTTGACCGCTGACGAAGTCGAGAAGGCATACTTGAACGCTTGCTTGAACGGACAGCTGGTAGAAAGAAACACCTCACGCACACACACACACACACACCAGACAGACCAGACAGACCAGACAGACAACGACGAGACGATTGCCCTTGGGTGCCTGCTGTGTCTTCAGGAGGTGAAGTTGCCCGATGGGGCTGACGGGGACATGCGCCAGGCGTATCAGCTGATCGAGCAGATGCTCATATTGGACCCCAGCAAGCGCATCACAGGTCGGCGGGGGTGTGTGAACCAAGTGTCGTCATATGTCGCTTGCCTGTTTCTGGCTGCCTGCCTGCCTGCCTGTGTGTGTGTGTGCGTGTGCAGCGAAGGCCGCGCTGCGTCATCCCTGGCTGGCCGGTCTGTCGGTGGCGGACGTCCCTGACCAATGCCACCAATGAATCATCCATAGGATCGGTCTGTTGGCATTGGCGTGTATATTTGGGATATGTATATGGGTGAGTTAGCACAGTGGAGGGTGGGGTGTGAATAGCACAGCGCTGCGCTGCACGCTGGACGGGACGGAGTGGGGTCTGTTTGCCGGCCGTTTGCCTGGATACTCAATGCATTGACTGACTGACTAACTGACCGATGGATGGATGGATGTGGGCGCGGCGCATTTGTGCAGTGTGGGCCCATCGATTCCTATGATTTCCGTGCTCAAGTGGACGTTACGTATGCTTCAGTCGATGGAATAAATACACAGAGACGAGCATAGCACAGACATCGGATCAAGATCCATAGGTCATCTTCAAGTCTCTCGAGATTGATTTCAAGCTTTGCAGATCCAACCTGGCCACCAGCTGTGAACCTGTTGCGTGCGCTCTTTCCGACCCGGGGAAGCAGAGCCACTCAGTGCGACGCTCGAGTGGCACAGCACGGCTCACTGCATCGATGAATGTGTGTGGCGCACCATATGGCACCGGTGTGGCAATGTGCACACGAACAGAGCTTCTCTCGCATTCCCGAGAATAGCCCCACACACGATCCGTATCACAAGTCGGCTACGCGTCCACTCATTCAGGCAGCCGTCCCTTCTCCCTCTGCACACCGCACCGCCGCATCCTCTTCTGCCGCCTCTCTCTGCGTCACACGCTGCCAACTCCCCCCTCCCTCTCCCTGCTGGCCCTGGCGGCCAAAGGAAAAGACACTCAGCCACCCACCCGCACTCCCACCAGCCATCGCTGCTTTCGACTGTGGTCCCGCTCTATGCTCGATCAGCGGCTCTTGCTCTCGTCCTGTGGTCTGCCTGTGCGTGACCCCATTGGTTGGGGCGGCTGTGGCTCGTGGGGTCTCCATGGCTGGGTCGCTGTGTGACCTCGCCATGGTGATGATGGCGGGAGGGGCTGGCAGGGGTGGCGGTGGAGATGAGGGCGAGGGGCAAAGCTGGTAGAGGTGCGAGGGGGTCTCTGCGCTGGGGTCGGTCCGGTCAACGTCGTCCACACACGCGCACAGCCGCCGGACCAGCCACAGCATCAGCGAGTTGCTCTGTGGGGACGGGCCGGACGCACAAACAAGTGACACACACGTCGTGTACGTCATGGACCAGACCAGCTCTCTGCGTGTGTGTGTTCGGGTGCGGTACGGTGTGGTACCTCTCCCCAGTATTTGGTCATTGTCTTCCTCCTCTCTCGTGGGATCGACAGCCAGAAGGACACCAACACGCGCACCAGGAGCGACATGCCAGACAGCAGACCCAATACCTGCACAGCACAGCACAGGATAGGATAGGAAGGATGCACACCACAGCCAGGTCGTGTGTGTATGTGTGTGTGTTTGCTCGGTTTGTGTGTGCGTGCAAGGGTTAGGTACTTGTGCAAGGTAGTCGAAGAATGTCTTGGTCTGTGTGAGCAGCAGGCGGTAGAGAAAGGGCGACACCGTCAGCTCAATGCGGAACTGCACCGTCGACGGGCCGTCGCCTGACGAGTGGAAGTGCACCCCATCTGATCATGATGTGATCAAACCACACACACAGACACCAACACTCGCATACACACCCATGTGTGTGTGATTTCAGCAGCCTACACACCTACCTGTCGCTGAGCCTTCCCTTGAGGCGATGTACTGCAGAAGGAAGCCGTTCTCGTGGACCCCAAGACGCTGCAAAGAATGGTCGTGTGGCGTGTGTCATCCATCGTGGATGACAGACACCAACACCACGCCCACACAACACATACACACCACTGAGTGAGTGGCCTGCCTATGTGCGTGTGACGCAGAGGTACTTACCTGGTTTTCGTAGTCAGTCGGCACAAGCGTCAGCCGCAGCACAGTCGGGTCCTCGCCACGCAGCACCTGAACCAATGAACAAATGACACGTACCTCCACACATGAGCACCTCGATGACCAGATAAACAAAGGCTTGTCGACTGACATTGTTGGGGTCGCTGCCGACGAAAGTGGAGTTGAGTGTGGAGAAGGCCTCCACGGGCGTGCTGGTGGTGGCGGTGCTGCTGCCAGACTCCCGCCACACAGTCATCACCTCCCACTATGACAGTATGAGCACATCCACACACACACACACACACACATCCATACAGGCACCTGTCCGTTGCGAATGCGTGTGTGCCCTGGATGTCTGTGTAAGTGAGCTAACCTGTATGGCCTGTGCGGCGGCGAATGTGTGGTGGCTGAGGGCTATGTTGAGGTGCAGCCGCTGGTCGAACACACCGCAGTCACGACAAGACCACTCAACCACACACTGCATGAGCCAAGAACAACACATCACATCCAGGGACGTGTGTGTGGCGGGTCGCGTGTGGGTGGTGTGAGGCTTGGCTCACTTGTTGCGGCCCGATCTGTGCGCACGAGACGGATGAAGCCGTGCTGATGTTCTTGGGGACCAAACCACTGCAGACATAAATGACATAACGCAGGTATGCAGGTATGCAGGCAGGCAGGCACTTTAGGGACGTGCACCGCACTGCCCAAGACAAGACGTCTGTGTAGCCGTACAGGGCAGTGATTCTGGCTTCCTGGCCGCACCGCCACTCCATCTTGGGCGGCCTCTTCTCATCCTCAGACGTCACGTCAATCGCCTCGCCCTCACCAACAACCTGTATGCGATGTGTGTGTGTGCACAGACAATACACACACATCAATGCATATGTGTGTGTGGTGTGGCTGGGCTGCGTCCCGTACCTGGTTATCGTCTCTCTGCTGCCTCCTGGTGTCGACGGACACGATAAAGGGAAGGACCGCCGGCAGAATGGACCACTTCCGCTGCTGTGTGGACACACACATCACAGCACAGCACAGGTGTGCATTCATTTATACATGGACGGAGTGACAGACAGACAGACGTGTCGTATCCGTGTGCACCGTACCGTTTGCAGGTGGTTGAGTCGGAACGAGGCGTCATGGGCTCTGTAGGTCAGATAAGAGTGGATTGGCACTGGGCACACTCACACACACACACACAGGCGGGATGAGTGATGAATCCGTGCAGTGGAGGGATGCACGCCGACCTATTCTCGCCCTGTGGTCCTCCGGGTGTTGGTGAGCGTGTCCGCCGCCCCCCTGGTCTGTCAACTGCGTCACGCGAGTGGTGTTGGACGCCTCACACGGGCCGGGATAACCTACATGGTTTAGTCATACACACGGCTGACACACGCATGCCACTAGTGTGTGTCTCGTTAACTCACCGACAAAGACGGCCCGGACGTGGAAGTCCGAGTCGAAGTCCGTCGACCTGCACACACACAGACAGGCCAGGCAGACAGCCAAGGACCAATGCGCCAGGGTGTATGTGTTGTGTTGTCTGTTGTGCAGGTGGAGAGCGCAGCGCGTTCCTGTATATGCCACTGGATGGCGCGGTCAGAGCCGCCAACGAGTAGTTGAAGAACAGCTGGTGTGACGCCAACCAACCACAGAGACACACACAGACGTCACATCACGAGCATGTCTGTCATGCGTGTGTGTGGTGTATGTATACGGTTGGCACGGCCCCAACCTGTTGCATGAAGACCAGCAGTATGATGCAGACGGCCAGGACCGTGTAGACGAGGGTGCACACGCCCCCAGCCTCTGAGGGAAATATCACCCCGGTGATGGCCCGGGAGTCGATCTGACGCATCCACGAATTCACCTGCACGATGACATCCAATACAGACATACAGACCTGTGTGTCTGGTGAAGTGAAGCAACCATACTCACTGACAGACCCGTTTGGGTGCCTTGACGTGTAGGAGGTTGAGTACGCACAGTGAGGCGGCCAGGACGATTAGCCCCACTGAGAAGGTCGACACTTGCCACAGCAAATGCGACTGAATCAACAACCCAACCGACCACACACACACAGCAAACACACATGAATTGCATTATACCATGCCCGTCTGTGTGTGCCAGTGTGTCATCTCATCTATCGTATCGTACCTCGTGCAGTGATGCCGCGTGCGGTTCGTCGTGCTGGTACACGATGCTGTTGGCGGGATCTGACGACACGTCACGTCAGGACCCGATCGACACACACACACCACAGACGGATGGGACTCACCCAGCCAGGCCAGATGTGGTGTCATGTGTGGTGTCCATTCACTGCAATGCATGTGTACCGATTTTCTCCAGCGGCTCACTGCTGCCCAATGGACACCAAATGTTGCCGCCACACGCCTGCGCCCATCCACCCACACACAGCCTATCCTATGCACAGAACTTTCCACACATGCATGTATCTTTGTATCCCTCACACCTTGCAGGTTGCCGTGCCTGCTTCCTTGGCGTGGGTGCCCCGGGGGCACGGCAGACAGGACGACGAAGACCATTGCCTGCACACGCCCCCCACACACACACAGGGCATTCACACATTGGTGCGGGGACACACCTTTACGTCGTGCACACAAGTGTGTAGTTCGTGTACCCTCTGAAAGGCTGATAGAATCCCGCTGGACACGGGACGCACTCCACCTCGCCATCGCCATCGTCATTGTTGATGTCGCTGTGGTTGTGATTGTGGTAGTGGCCGGGTGGGCACGGCACACACGCACTTGCATCGGACGTATTGCCAACCCAGGGGAAGTGCTCAGCGAATGAGGTGTCGTTGGCATCTGAGACTGGGTATGGGACGGCTCGCGACCCTGCTCGACACACACACAAGACGCCAGGCCAGTAGACAGATGAGTGTTCCATGCGTTGCGTTGACGTGCTGTACGGTACGTGTGTGTGTGTGTGTGTGTGTACCTGTGCCGCAGACAGTGCAGTCCTGATCGTTCGCAGGTGTGCATGCGTCTTGGTACACCACCAGCACAGACGAGTGCATCGTAGGCGGATGCTTGTGGTCGACGGTCGCTGCACACACACAGAGACGGACGTATAAGAGGGAGGTACGATGGACGGACGATACACTCTATCTTGTGCGCATCGGTACCTCTCATGTCGGCCATTCCTGGGCTGGTGTCAGCACCACGCAGCTGCCGCAACAATGACGAGTGCTCTGATGAGGGAACAGTCCACCCACCGCCATGAATGAGCACCTGGACACACACACACACACACAGAGGCGGTATGGCACGGCAAGTGTGGTGTGTGGTGGTGGTCGGGGTGGTCACCTTTCCGATAGGCGGCACGTACGCGGCTGCCGCCTTGACGCGATACTGGTCGGGGGCAATCACTGAGTGGCACACACACAACACACACCCTTGCAAGCCCATGGACACGTACGGAGAAGTGTCTGATAGACGCGGGTACCTACCTGGTGGCAGCGCTGATGTGTGTGTGAGCGTGAAGGTGCCGTTGACGTAGGCCCACATCTGCGAGCTGCTCTGTGCATACACACAGAATACTCTGTACTGTACGCCACACACCGACGTCAAGGTGCAGTGCACTGCACGGCCGTACCTGACCGTCCCTGCGTCATGGTTCCGGCCGCCATGTCTGCCGTTGTCTCCCCGCATGCCGCCGATGAGTGTGAATGACCGCTCGTTGAGAGCCACGGATGAGTGGAACGCCAATGAAGGTGGGCTTGAGACCTGCATCCACCCATCCATCCATCCATCTGTGCGGGTGATTTCTTCTCGTGTACGTCTAAGCTATCTGCCTGTGGGCACGTGACGTACACGTGCATTCGGTGGTATCGGCTCTTTTACTTGGAACCACACAGAGGGTCCTGCACAGGAAACAAAGACAGACGTCTAGTCTGACATATTTATTTCATAAATGAGAGAGTCAGGTGTGTGTACCTGTGTCGTTGTGCATGAGGAACCAGAGGTCATTCGTAGCCATCGTGTTGGCCGTGCGGCCGCCAAACACTAACAGACCCTCTGCGAGCGACAAGTGAGTGCAGCAGACGGAATGTGCACATACGTATCGACGCGATGCGATGGGATGGGATGGGTATGAGAATTCGCCGTCTCTCACTCACTCTGCTGCAGCAGATCCTCCCCCTGGTGTGCAGGGCTCTGTGTGTCGTTGATGCGCTTCTTGATTGCGGAAAGGATCTGTGGCGGGGAAAGGGCGGGCACCATGCTGTGACCTGCACGCCAATATCAATCACATTATGTATGTATCCACACACAGAGAGACACGCACAGCACAGCACAGCACAGCACAGCGCAGTGTGTCCACTCCACGTGGCATGGATGTACTGTACGCACGTGTGCGTACCCATTCTGGCCACAGGTGTGGGGCGCCTTTCATCCACCGCCACCAGCTCCCACTCGACGCCTTTCGGACCAGCAGCAGACCAGCCGTCGAAGACCGTACCTGTGCAGTGAGTGCATCAAGACAGACAGCCAGGCACACTGAGAAGGCACTCACTCTCTCTCTCTCTCTCTCTGATGTTGCGTATCAATTGTGCGTCCTTACTGAGGTCAGCCGTCCACAGGTGGTTGGTCAGGTTGCGCTGGGTGGCCTCGCCGCCGAAGACATACAGACGGGGGCCTGCATTTCGGTCCATCATGGTACCTTCTGTTTGCGCGTGTGAATGAATGAGTACCGATGGTTGTGGCTGCGGTGTGGACGAGCGGTGGCGGGCGGGCGGATGTCAGAGGCGGCAATGGGAACCACTTGAAGGGAGCTACACACACAGAATACACACACACGCACGTGTGGATAAGTCTGCATCCGTTGATTGCATTGTGGTTAGGTCACTGACTGACTTGCTCCGTTGCCCCCCTCTTGTGGCGTCAGCAGCTGGATGGCCCACATGTCATCCAGCACCACGTCACCTGCACACACACAGCACAGCACACAGTACAAAGAGGCGGGCAAATGTATGTTATGGGTATGCACCAGCTTTGCCGCCGTATATGAGCAGCACGCCACGCTCAGACACCACAGAAACATGACCATGCCTGCATCCATCCATCCATCTCATGCACCCAATTGCTGAGCTGCAATGCGGTCCTCCCTCCCTCCCTCACCGTGACGGTGGTCTCAGGAAGATGCCGTACACGTCGTCGAGGCTCTCCCAAACCATGCTGAGCGGATCCACATGGGCCAGGGCACCATCCTGGGTGTGAAGAAATGCACACACCAACGGTATGCCCACCCACCTATCCAATCCACCGCTGCCTGTGTGTGCCTGACGTGCGTACACCAATCAGTGTGTAGTTGAGCCGCCACAGATCGTTGGTCGCCTCCCCTGCGCACACATTTCGATCGTCACACGCATCCGATTGCTCATCACCACAAGACGACACACCACACCACACCCACCTGTGTCATCCTTGCCGCCAAAGACGATAACTTGAGGGCCGACGGCGTCAAGGGTGTGCGAGTGACGCACCAGCGGCAGCGGCCCGGGACACAGCAGCGAGTAGGGACGGTTGTCTACACAAACGCACAGCACAAAGAGAGAGAATCGAGCGGATGGAATGGACACACCTGTGGATCGATTTCTGTATACCAGCCAGCATGGCTCGGATGTTGATGACATGCTCGCCGCCCCACGCGCCAACCACCACTCGCAACGCCACACGACCCGCCTGTGTGCAGCGGAGTACACACAAGCGTCAAGTGCGCGGGAGTGATCGGTCTCCACTCGCCCAGCTGTGATTGATGTGCCTGACCTGCATGCGAGCCCACGAGCAAGCGCTCCAAGTGATGACCAGCGACCTGTCGTCCTGATACACAGCGTGGCGCGTCAGACCTGTTTGTGACGCACAAACAGACAGACAGACAGACAGACATACAGACGAATGGGACCCACACGCAGGACAGGCGTGTGAGCGTGTGCAGTGCAGGAGGGGTATATTCTTCACAAACTCACTCTTGGTGTCGAATGTGGTGTCATTGTGGGGCTTGGCGGGTGCCGGGACTAAGCTGCCGTGTGCCAGCAGAGCTCTGCTGCACACAGGAGGGTTGCCCTGCGCACACACACACGCCCTAGCCAATGAACACACACACACACACACACACACACACAAGTCGACTTGCCTCTCGTGTGTGTGTGCGTACCCTTTCGCAGTCTCTCGACTTTGTGACGGCGATCTCCACACGCAAATCGAGATAACCGTCACCGAAGGGCAGCTGACCGCCCTCACCCACAGCCAACTGACACCACACACAGGCGCACACAGGTGCACCATCTGTGTAGCGGTGTGTGTGCGCTTCTGTCGTGCATTTCACTGGTTCACCTGGTAGGTGCGCGTTTCGCCTGACCCCAGGCCCTCTGCAGTGGCCAAATACACCTGCAGACACACACAAAGGCAACCACTCCGGACGGCCGTGTCAGTCGTGCGCCGGTCTGATTCATCCCACATGCGTGTGTGTGTCTGTGTCGCGTTGCCCTCACCTCTGTGACGGCAGCACCGCCTGTAGGCCGCAGCAGCGCCGCCAACACGGCAGCCAAGCACACTGATGGAGGAGATCTCATTACCACGGCGTGACGGAGCAAGATCTCGCGAGATAGCCACTCGGGGCTTCAGTCCAGCACCAGCAGAGCATCAGAACTTTGGAATCGACGCCATCTTCTCTGCGAGCTCCCGATCTGCAAGCCAAGCTTGCAGACGGTGAAGCAACGAAGCCGCTGCTGCCGTGAAGCAACGAATCAAGGCGCTGCAGATGAGCCAAGAAGGCAAGAAGGCCTGCTGTGGCGGAAGGGGGCGGGTCGAACCCGCATTGTATGCTTTTCGAGCTCACCGGTGCGCGAGCATGGTGCTACACCTCCCTGACACCATTGGCGTGATCTGTTATCGTTGACCCGTCAAGGAGTCGTGGGAGGAGCGATTCTTTAACTTGAACGAAATGCCGGTCATCCTCCCTGTGAGAATGTATGCAGGTGAGCCCAGCCTTCACTCGCGAGTTGAGCGCCTCCATTCATTCCCTGCCCATGGACTGGACTGCCCTGTGGATGCGGTGCGTGCAGGATGAGTAGCGCCACAGGCACGTCGTTTCGTTTGGTCCATCAGTCGGGACGACGACCAATCAATGAAGGACCGGTAAGACCGGCAGCAGGCCAAATTTGATGCATTCGACAATCCTGGATCTTCTTGCTGTTGTAGGCTGGGAGGCGTTTGTCGTGTGAGGATCTCATTCACATCTCGGGCTATGGCGTGTGGCCGCTCTTCAACAACAGCATCGCCATGGGGGCCGGGGCTCAGTGCCGCCAGCTCGACATCGACTCCTCCAGGGCCGCCGACAGGGCCTTCTGGCAGACGATGCCCGTCAACGTGGCCAAGACGTGGGGCGGCCGCATGCCCAAACTCACCCGCATCTGGTGCTGTCACCCGGCTGGCGGGGGGGCCTGGTGTCTGAACGTCATCACGGCGCTCATCGAAGGCCACACAGAGGGCCGCACAGCGATGGTCGCAGAGAAGAGGGGAGAGGCAGAGAGGCGGGGAGAGGCGGCCGACATCCCTGACGGCTCACTCACGGCAATCACATTTGAGGCGGCTGAGCTCAGCGAGGTCGATATGCTGTCCGTCGGGCGGATCAAAAAACCCCACCCTACCCCCTGTGTGTGCCCCGCCCCCCTCCCTCCCCGCCCTCACATCCATTAGCGGCCTCACTGCCCACCATCGCGGCATCGGAAACCGCGGCTGGCGCGCCCCGTCGCTGGAGCGGGTGCAGGCGCACGAGCACATCGACACACTGGGACCACTCGTCGGCTCGTCGCGGTGCCTGAGGGTGTTCGACGTGCCCTCGACGGTCGACCAGAAGGCCGAGGTGCTGGAGGAGGTGCCTGTCGCAGCAGAGGAGGGACAGCCGGGGCCACTGGCGAACTTGGAGGATATCGGGACGATTGAGGTCCCCGGCGACCTGATGGATCCAGAGGTATTGACAGTATGGTGCACACGGTTGCAGGTCAGCAGGCTGCTAACACGCAATGGACGACAGATGCAATGATGCTTACTATGTTCCTGTCTGTTTTCCTTTCTTAGGAGCTGGGGTCGACCCTCGTGGCACGAGGCTGTCGTCGTTCCCTCAGGTCGCTGAAGGTCAACTTCGTCGACGAGTCGATTGTGGGCCCAGGGGTGTTCGACATAGCCGTGGCCCTCCAGTCATTCGCCAGTGCGGTGTGCATCGGAGACGTCCCCATCAGCTTCACCAGTGCTGCTCCGCGATTTCACCTGAGCGTCCTGTACTGCCCCCTCTTCCCCGCTGCCCCCTCTCTCATCCTCGAGACTGTCCTGCGCCAGCTGGCCGACCAGGCGGCTCGGGTGCTCGTGGACGTTGAGTTCCACCTCGCCACCCCGGTCACGCCTGCGATGCTCGACATGGCCAGAGGCCTTGCATTCAACAAGGCCACGAGTGTGACTGTGCTCGGTGGCGACCAGCCTGCACAGCCCGCCCCCACCAACCCTGCACCCGCCCTCATCGAACAGATCCAGCCCATGCCGCAGGCGTCGTTCTTGTCACTCGACAAGCACACGGCATTGGCGGCCGGCATCCAGCTGGCCAGCAAGATGCCCAACTTGCGGCGACTCAACACCAGTGACATGACCGAGGAGTGGGCGGTGGAGGCCATCAAGGCGATCGGGTGGGAGCGGGAGTTTGACATGGTGACTGCGATTGCTATCCGGGGGTTGGGCAGCGGGGATGTCATCAGCATAGGGGACCATGCAGATGAATTCCCACACATCACAACACTGGGTGTCGATCTCACAGGTGGGTGGGTGGGTGGGTATGTGGGAGGGTGAGTAGACAGACCCACTGAGAGACCTGTATGTGAATGTCTGCCTGTCTGTCTGTCTGTCTGTCTGTCTGCGTGTCCAATCCCTCAGTTCCCGCCGGCGTCTCCGAGTTTGTCGAGTTCGCCTGTTCGAGTATGAGATCGCTGCTGCAGCTCAGGTGCAGGGCGGTGTTCTTGCAGCTGCTCGGCCTGGATGCCGACACACGCAGCCTGCTGGAGTCTGCTGTGCCTGAGCAATGTAGCAGCGTCGGGGGCCCGCTCATAGTGTGCATGCAGCAGGACAACAAGCTGGCCATCGCTGCCATCCACAGTGGATAGATAGCTGCGGGCGTTGCGTTGAGTGGGACGGTTTGATGTGACGTGCCTGCATTCGAATCAATTGGTGCACGTGCCGTTTGTATATGTATGTGCAGATGTTGCACGGCGTGAGACGTTTATGTGGTCCATGCTGAAGTGAGGATTGTTGACGCGTGTGTCGAGACGGTCCCATACATGCAGTCAGGCATCATGGACTCCCGTACACCACCAGACTGGCTGTCGAACTCACAGGTGGGAGGGCAGGTCGACCTGCATGTGAATGTCTGTCTGTCTGTCTGTCTGTCTGTTCGTATGTCTGCGTGTCCAACCCATTAGGTCCCACTGGCGTCTCCGACTTCGTCGACTTCGTCTGCTCAAGCGTGAGATCGCTGCTGCAGCTCAAGTGCGACCACGGTGGTGCTGCAGCTGCTTGGCCTGGACGCCGACACACGCAGCCTGCTGGAGTCTGCCGTGCCTGCACAACTTAGCAGCCTCCTGATGGGTGGATGTAGTGGAACGGCTTCACATGGATGCATTTGACTTGATACGTACGGCTGCGCTGACTGCATGCCGTGCGCTGGTGTGAATGTGCAGTCCATATGGAGGCTCTCTCGCCGATTTGCGATGAGTCCAATCCTCTGCTCTCCCCAACTTAAGCTCGCAGATGAGAGAAGCGCAGAAAACGACGGGAGATGGACGCAGACAGCCTTCCGCATCGAGGAGCGCCTGGTGCCCCGTACTGTGCCTGCTGACCCTCAAATCGATGGGTTGAATGAGAGCCATCCTTCTCGGTCCACCCTGCGGTAGTCAGGCAGCGAGAAGGCAAATTCGCCCGTCGGCGCCGCCCTCATGTGCCTGCTGTCTGTCTGGTTTTGTGTATGTGTGCGTCAGGGAGGGAATTGGTAACACCGTGAGCAGCGGGTATTAGCCGCCTCATAGAGGGCGCTCGAGATCACATCACATCGCAGCCAAGAGCATCTCGACCACAGATAGCCATGGAGAACGATAGACAGGTGAGGCGCAGCCCATGGCTGACTGCATTGGTGGATTGTGTTTGTGTTGCGCCATGTTTGCAGGTGGAGAGGTCTCGCCGTGACGAAGAGCAGGCTGCATCTGCTGCTGCGGCTTCAACGGCATCCGCTGGTGGTGGTGGTGGTGTGAGTGAGAGGGAGAGAAACAGCAAATCTCAGACACGGTAAGCCGCCCACAGACTGAGGCCATGTGTGCACTGATGGATTTCTCTTCCGGTCATGTGTGCTGTGGGTTTGTGTGCAGCCGGGCCTCCTTAGCATCGTCATGGCCTCCCTCCCCCTCCATCTGCTGGTCCGTGTGTCCAACCAGACGTGGCAGCAGGCGGCCCCCCGCCAGCATCGCCTCGTCATCAGCGCCAAGCACAGAGAGGAGCGGTCGTTGTGGCAGCGAGTGCCCATGACCCTCGTCAATCAGCTCGCGACACTGCTCACACAGCTGACGTGTGTCGTCCTCTGCTACCCCATTGGCTTCACTCTTTGGTGCTCTGACGTCTTCGTTGCCATGGTGGAGGGTCATATCGCCGCGCGGCGTGCAGCCAAGATGGAGGGCGGCACACTGCACACCATCACCATCGAGGGGATTCAGCTGACCCGCAAGGAGAGGGAGACCGTCACAAGGACACACCCACCCCTCCCACCCCTTGCCGACCCGCCCCCGGCCCTCCCGGCACTCACCAACATCGTCGGTTTGATGCCCGTCCATCAGGGACTGGCCGACCGCCGCTGGCGAGTGCCCTCTCTCGCTGTCGTGCAGCAGGAGGGGTGGGATGCTGACACACTCGGCCGATTCATCAGCACATCCAGCTCCCTGCGGCGTGTGTTTGTGGGCGGCAGCTCCAGCTTTGACGAGGGCGGGTGGGCGGGTGTGTTTGAGGGCATTCCTGAGACCCCTCCTGGGCAGCAGGGAGGGCCACTCTCCCAGCTGGAGGCCATCGGCACCATCAAGATCCGTGGTAATAGCACCGACCAGCTGGGCGTCGAGCGGCTGCAGGTAACAACAAAGGAAATGCACAGCAGGGCCTGTGAGTTGGTTCGTGCCCTCTCGTTTGTGTGTTCCTGCCTTCAGGCTGTGCTCCTGGCGCGCGGCTGCCGACGGTCGCTCCAGCGGTTGGACGTGTCGTGTGATCTCTTCGACGCTGGCCGCCGCACGTTTCCCGTCCTGCTGGCCGTGGACCGGCTGGCCACCGAGTGCTGCCGACAGGACGCCCCCGTCACATTCACCTCCCCTGGCTCCCCTGTCTGCACGTATTTCGACCTCAACATGTTCCACCACAGCGAGATCCCCACCCACCCCTCGCCCTGGCTCAAGAGCGTCATCCAGCAGCTGGCTCGGCAGGTCACACAGGTGCAGTATTCCCTCACCCAGGACGACCTCACTGACGACCTCCGCAATCCCAGCGAGTCGGCCATCGACATCGCCAACACACTCACATTCGACGAGGCCGGCTCGGTGGAGGTCCGCAACGCCTATGACTTCGATCCCCCCGCCAACGCCGACTCGCCCCATCCCTCCATCATCGCCCACCTGCCGCAGCAGCCGTTCCCAAAGGCCACACACCTGTGGATCGGCAGCAGATTGGGTGGTGCTGCGGGCCGGCTGCTGGCCGCCAAGATGCCTGACAAGGTGGGGGGCGTGGACACTCGCTGGGGTGGTGAGGACGAGGTGGGTGTGCTGACGGCGCTGGGAGTGAGAGGGAGGTGGGGAATGTGGAGATGGTTGAGGTCGGTGTCGACCAGCTGGTGGGGGCGGCCGGTGGATTGCCGAAGATCAAGGACCTATGGATCATCATGAAGCGTACGCAGAGGGGGGGGGATGTGTCCTTCCGTCTTCGTTTGCGCGAACATCCCTTGCTGTCCTGTGCGTGTGTGTGTGGCTTCTTTCAGTGCCGGATGGTGCTGGTGAGGAGGACGTGGGCAGCCACGTGTACGCCCGCCTCTCATCGCTGATCGACCACGTCAGGGGCCTGCAGCATGTGAGGCTGGATGTGGACCCCACGACGCCCCAGCAGCATGATTCCATCCTCGACTCCCTCCCCGAGGGCACCAACATCAGAGGCTTCACAATCACTCGCGTGGATCTGTTGACGCGTGGAGCTGCTATTGTGGTAGCAGTTCGCAATGGCTGATGGGTGAGGGATGGCAATAGTGTACACGCCAGTCCGATTGTACGTGTGACGATGATCATCTCTGCTGTGCGTGTTGGCGGTTGTTTGGCAGGCCGGCTATTGTGGTGGATCGTAGCACAGCGGCAGTTGGGGGAGTTGCTGTGAGTAGCGGGCGGTGGCTGGCGACATTCGTGTGGTGCATCCCTGCATTGATGCGTGTGTACGTGTGTGTGGATGTCTTGATGACTGCCTAGCTGTACAGAGTTGGCGGACACCTCATAGCAGAGGGGAGGGCCGGCAGGTGTGTGTAGGAGGCAAGTGTCGCCTGGATGGATGGATGGACTGCGTGGGGTCGACTTGATACGGCTGCATTTCGTGTGTGCCGTGGCGTTCAGTGTTCAAGGTGCTACAAACCACTCGCGATAGAACACAAATGCATTCAATGCGATTCGATGCAGCCGCGAGATTGACGGTCCGACACACACACATGTGGAAGCGATTTCGATAAACCCACGCACACAAATGTATGTGTATACGCATGACGCCATATGTGCGTCATGTCGGGAGGAACCGCCCTAGCCAGCCATGGACGCACACACACGAAGACACTATTGAGTCCATCCAGGGAGCAATACAGACACACGCACCTAACTCACCCACTCCCCAACGTACAAACAGCCCTCGGATGCCTCGCTCTCTCTGCATGAAGTTAAATCCACACAATATGCAGCCGGCACCACAAAACACTGTCCCTCCCTCCCTCCCCTTGTGGCCCCATCCAGCGATGTCGTATCAACCCCGGCGCGCACGGTCAGTCATGTGATTGCCCGCGCGGCCCACTGCCGCACCTCCTCGCGCGACCCGGCGAAGACCACCCTCTCCTTGCAGTGCTCACACAGGTACTCCGGCTCGTCCAGCAGGTCCACCAAAGCTATCCGGTCCTCTTTCTTGCGGCCCTGGTTCTGCCTCTCGATGTCCTCATTCTCCTTACCCCGCCGCACATTCTCCGCCCGCACTCTCTGGAGGTCCTGCTGTAGCTTGCTGCGGCGGTGGTCGTAGCACTGGCGGCACACCCGGAGGTGTCTGCAGGGCATGTACATGACCGAGGGGGCCGCGTCGAAGCAGATGGCGCACTCATGGCCATCTCCCTCTTGCTGGGCCGACGGCAGTTGCTGCTGCTGCTGGTATGGGTATGGCTGTGGTGGTGGTGGTGGTGGTGGGGCGGATGAGCTGCTGGACGATGGGGGCTGCTGCTGCTGCTGATAGAAGCTCAGGGCAGCTAGCCTGAACGAACCAGACAACCACAGCGACCAGTCAATGAGACTCAGTCATACGTTGATTGCCGTGTGTGCGGCGTGTTGCCTTACTGGCGCCGCAGCTCGTCCTTCTCGCGTTCGTCTTGCTCCTTCTCTCTCCGCCGCTCCTCCCTCTCTCGCTGCAATTCAGTCGCAACAGATGGCGGACCCGTAAAGGGCCTACAAACACCACACACACACACGACACCAAGATGGGCATACGCCAAAGCATCTGGGCTGCCCTGTTCCGTTGGCTTACCCATGAGCAGCATTGGCCCTGTCGGTGCCCTGTTGGCCGCCCAGCCACCCCATCGGCAGCGCATTCCAACCACTGCCCGTGCTGTCTGGTGCGTGAGCCTCGTCCGCTTCGAAGATGGGGAAGGGCGGGGGCGGTGGTGAGGGAGGCTCCTCACCATCACTGTGGCCATAGTCAGGCCACTCGCCATAGTCGCCCCCCTCAGCGGCCGCATACGGCCCCGCCGGCCAGTTGCCATAGAATGCACCTTAGATGATGACGATGCAGCAGCAGCAGCAGCAGCAGCGGGAGCCGGTGGGCCAGACTGGAATGGATGTGGACAACCGAATGAATGGAGAGGAGAGCCGCCCGACGGCTGGGGGCCGTCACCGCAGCTCACAGGAATCGAATGACTCATTGGAGGGAGACTGCTGCACAACATGGCATGGCAGGCACAGAGCAATCAATCAGACGATACAGGCGTTGACGTGTGTCGTTAATGTCTGACCTTGAGTCGACCGGTGAGTGGGGTGCGGGTGGCGCTGGAATGCCCGGCGGGGGCTGCACATACATGCCGTCATCGGCAGTTGTCTGCGATGGCCTTACCTTGGCCACTCCTCAGGTGTCGACTGCTGCTGGTCGTCTTGTCCGGTGTGGTACATTGGTGGTCTGTTGCGCAGCTCCAGGGGCGACGGGAGCCGGGGGCAGGGGACGGCGGGAGGAGGGGGAGGGTGGGTGAGCTTCTCATGGGCGAAAATGGTCATGAGGCCCCTCCCCGCCCCACCACCTCGCATAGGCCGGGGAGGAGGGGACGAAGAGCCAGACGGGCTCTCATTCTCAGACAGTAGCGGACGGATCGAGGGACGCTTCGGCATGGCAGCAGGTGGCTGACGGGAGACCGCCCCCCCATTGCTGAACTGGCCCGCAGAGAATGCAGCACTCGACAGTGGAATGGGTGAGGGCATCCGAATGCCGCCGCAACGACGATCCTCATTGGCGGCAGGCATAGAGTGCTCCTCTTGTTTGGTCTCGGCCGCGGGCTGGAATGACGGCAGGGACGGTTTGCTCAGCTGACATGTGGGCGTTGGGGTGGGCCTCGTGCTGCTCTTACTGTCCTTCTGTTTCTGTTTCTTGCCCCCACTCATCTGCTCTCTTGCGCGCCGTGCGAATGCCGAATTGAGCAGCATCTCTTCACCGTCCTCAACCACACCATCGCCGTCGCCTCCAATGGCATCAGCCGCCGACTCGACTGCCTCGCCGCCAGGCCGATCGCCGTCCGCCAACGACGCTGACACGGACGGCACAGCGGCCACACTCGACCTGCAAAGAGAAGCCACAGGACAGACAGAGGGAATGGGTAGGCAATGGCAAAGTGGATTGATTGCTCACATGTCGATCGCACTGGACGAGGAGGGCTCCGGCTGGCCCGCCTCAGCCTCATCAGCCGCAGCCGACGCCCGGCTGGACATACCACAGCAGACAGGCAGGCAGACAGGCAGTGAGGTGTCCATCAGTCACCATGGTGGCTCACGGCTGTACCTGGTGGATGCGGCAGTGGAGGGCGCCGATGGCCCCGCCACCGAATCAGAGGGGCTCGCCTCATTCCGCCCTTGCTGCTGCTGCTGCTGCTGCTGCTGCTGTCGGCCCTTGCCGCTCTTGGTCTTCTTGCCCCTGCCTTTGTTGGCCGTCTGGTTCTCTCTGCCTTTGCCCTCCTTCTGGCTTTCAGTCCGCTTGGCCGCGGCTTCCTGGGATGCCAGCTGAGCGGGCGACATGGTTGGCTGTAAAGCGGTCTTGGCCCTGCTGTCCTTGTCGTGCCGCTGGGGGCAGTCAGAGGGCGGTGGAGGTGGTGGAGGTGTGGGCAGCGTCGGGTGAGGGGGAGGGGAGGACGGTGGAGGGGTCAAACACGGCAGACGACTGACAGAAAGGACCGCACACAGACGACGATGGAAGGATGCGAGAAGTGAACGACTTCATGTGCCTGGCTGGCGTCTTGAGTTTGTGTGTGGTGTGTATGAGCTGTGCCTACCCCTGATCGACATCATTTGGGAGACCGCCTACGGACACCGATGGCTGCTGCTCGTCGCCATCCGGCCCATCGTCGCCATCAGCTGGCGCGCCACCATCATCGGACAACTCAGCGCTGACCGACACACAGAGCAACAAAGGCAGGACATGACACGTCACATATCGATTAGCGGGCCCCGTCCCCAAGCTATTTTGCCACCGTGTGTGTTCGACAGCGACGCTCGATGACGATGCACTGGCAGCCGCCGAGGTGCTCTGGCCGCCTCCCCGTCCTCCGCCCTTGCCCTTCTTGTTGTTATGTCGCTTCTTCTTGCCGGATGATGTGCTGGTTGTGGTGCGCTGTGCAGCGGGCTGGGGCGGGTCGTCGAAGGACATGTTGTCGAGGGCCTTGTCATAGCGCTTGTCCTCTTCCTTCTCGATGCGATTAAATAGTGCGAGCACCTGCATGTCGATTCATGAAATGATCAGGATAGCCACGACAGAGAGAGTCCTGGGGGTGTGTGTACGTGACGTGATGCGGTGTGCGTCTCGGCTGACCTTTTCGGGCACGTTGAGTCGTTTGTCCCTCTTGCCCTTGCGCTGTTCTACTCCACGTAGCGCCTTGACAGAGTCGAGCTGACCACAGAGACAGGGAAAGAATGGCCCCCTTGTTGGGATTGTCTTGGCGTGCGTATTGTGTGTGCACAATTACTTGTAGGATTTCTGTGGCGATGTTGTTGCGGGTGTGCCCCCTCCGCCCCATCCGCTCTTCCCCATATCTGCATGCCGGGAGCGCAGACAAAGTCGCGCTGCGCCGCCAGTCAGTGTCAGTGACCCACTAACTTGATGAGTGATTGCAGGATGCCACACGCGCTGTCGACGACACTCTCTTCGGCGCCCTCGAGCTCTGGGCCCTCGAGCTCTGGGCCCTCGAGCTCTGGAATGCTGCCGTGATAGCCTCTCGACATGCGGAGCAAAGCCTTGCACACGACAGGAGCAAACTGCTCCCCGATGGCGACCTGCCGAGCAAAGCGCACACACACACACATGTGCAGAGAGGGACCCCACTCGGCCCACAGATGTACCTGAGGTGCGAAGGCTGCTATTATCTGCATTAGGCGCGTGAGAAAGCCAAGCACCATCAGCCCTCCCTCGCCGCGCATCAGTTTCTCGTCGTTGACGAGCTTGACGAAGGTCGCGGGCAGCCCCGACTCGATGAGGGACTGAGTGTTTCCTGCACTCAGGCAGCCAAAGAAACAGACAGCAGCGCAAGACAACATCGCCCTTCACTGCCCTCTTTGTTATTTTTCTGTCTGCCTGTCAGGTGACCTACTTGCTAGCTTTGGCGTCGAGAGAGCGATGCTGATCTCCGGCGGTGCTGTGTGGCCATCTAGAGTGGGAGCCACGTCGCTGAGGACACTCGATATGCCCCCCAAGACGGCCGGCTGGGTCACTCTCTCGACGAAGTCATAAACTTCACCGCCATGCTCACAAGACGCCTCTGTTCACACACACACATTCAGGGAGAGAGGCTGGCCTGGTGCACATGTACCTGCGTGGCACACATACCTGGGAATTCTCTTTCCGCAATGTCCAGCAGAGTGATGAGTCTGGTGATGGCGCCCAACTTGACAGAAGCCCCCCACTTGTCTGCAGGTGTCGCACTGGTGGACGTGACGCCCCCGAGCTGATCTGCATAGACGAAGGCGTGCTTCTCAAGCCCTCCCGACACCGCAGCGAAGGCCTCGCTCGCCCGCTCTGCACACCAGTCACACACATGGGCACATACATGTGATTGCCAGGCATCTGGGAGCTTCACTGATCACCAACGCCACCGTTGGTCAGCGCTCGAGCAACGGACTGACTGACTGACTGACTGACTGACTCACCGTTGGACAACAGCTCCACTACGAACACATACATCTTCCACGCAAGCTCAAAGGTCGGCAAGCGTTCGCTTGGCGGCATGGCCATCAGGCTGTGGAAAGACGCCAGCCTCAAGGACACCAGGGCGGCCGACGGCGTCGCTCCCTCCAGCAGCTTCCTGATGAACTCCATCATCACCACATCCGGAGCAAACAAGGGAGCTGTGGGCGCATCCCTGACAATGCACAGATTGCAAAGCAGGGGCCAGTGGAGTCAACGACCTATGTCCATCCGTCCATCTGTCCACCCATGAGCACTGACCTGCGTGCAGCCATGTCGTCGACCATGTGCAGGAAGTCCATGTGGTTGGCCACCAGATGCCCGTGGAAGTCCTGCGTCTTGTCGATCGCCCTGCCGTACTGGAGGATCTTCAGAGCATTGTGGTCCTGATGATCACCAGTAGTGGATTGCGATCACCAAGCGCCGGTATGAGGCCGACCGCAGCCGTCAGCAGCCTCTGCGGCGACGCCTTGTGCACTATCAGCTCCTGGATAAAGGCATCCCGAACGGCAGGCTGGGTGTCGTTGCTCGCCAGGAGTGCTGCGACGGACAGCGCCGTGTCCCTGCGGTGGGATGGCGCCGCGCTATCCATGACGCAGGTCCACACGAGACGCGCTAGCGTGGCGGGGCTGCTGCACCGGTCACGGATACGGAGGAGAATGGCCACCGAGTTGATGCCGTCGCTGGCTGCGTTAGTGTCATGAAGGGCATCGAGGCGCTGCTCGAACGCCGTCCTGTCCGTCGACGCGAGAAGGGCGTCCACTTGAGCTGCTGCCTCATCAGACAGTCGGGTGGTCATCTCTTCAAGATCTGCCGCAGGTGCTGAACACACAGATGCATCCAAATGCGGATCTTTGTGTCAGTCCATGCTCACCTCGACGGCGCCACAACAAACAGCTGCGCGGGCTCTCACGGATCTGGGACTCCCTAAACTTACGAGATGAAGAGGGGGAAGAGCCGGAGGGCTCTGCAAAGGACATACGAGTTTATCGGTGACCAAAACATGAGGATCTTGATGCAGGGCTGCTCAGTTACCTCTGACAACTACAGGTAGCAAGCGAGGCTGCCCTCCCTCTCCTTTTTTCCCCCCTCTCTTTCCCTGCGAGCTAAGCTCAGGTTTCAAACTCGCATGATCGACGTGTGAAACCTCCTCCCCTGGCTTCTCGGATCACTGTGGCTTGACCATCGCCACACCATCAGAACCTCGTCAACTGGGCGCTGATTCCGGCGTTCATTTGGCTCGGGGTGGTTGTGACATCGCTGGAGGAATTCCTACGACACATCGTCCGCTGTTCTAGTCCCCCCCTCGTTGACAGCTCCCCTCCCACCCTGTCGCGTCGCTTCAGCGCATGCTCATCGTTCCTGTGAGTGTTGGTCAAGGACGACTTGTTCTGTCTGAGTCATCATCGTCATAGCTGAGCTGATCAAGACGGCGCCGTTCAACCGTGAGCACGACACCCCGGCGGCGGGGATAACCATCCATCCGCGGGCGGCAGGGATGGCGGGAGCGCCGGTCATCATCCCGGCGAGCCAACTGCCCATCAAGCCGGCGAGACACGTGTCGCTCAACAGAGCCACGCCCAAGAAGACCCTCGTCTGCACCCGGGTGGAGCTCCCCATCTACTCGTACCCGGGGCGGGACAGCGGGATGGTCAAGAACACCTTCATCCACATCGGCGAGCCCCTCCCACCCATCACACGCAGCCGATCATCGCCTGCCCTGCTCACCCACAAGACCACACAGCCACCGGCGGCGGCCACCAGCGAGTTGCGTCGCAAGGGATCGTCTGTGCGGGCGAGTGGGAAGCAGCCGGGTGGGGGGTCGCATCACCACCCGGATGACGTCAGCAGCGACGGTGCGTCAGTGGACTCCACGGTGTTTCCGTGCGATGCGGACCAGCAGTCGCCGCGTTCGTACGACAGTGTGCAAGGGGTGGGGATGGGTGCGGGCGGCAAGGGTGGGAGTGTCTCGGTGTGTGGAAGCCCTCTCGACTCGGGTAGCACCGCATACGAAGGGAGCACACTGGTGAGCAGCCATCGCAAGGCATGGATGGCGGCACTCGCATCATCGGTGTCTGTGTGTGACTGGTTCGTGGTTGATCAGACGTGGCAGGACAGCACGCTCAGTGGTCTGTCTGTGGATCTGGGTGTCCACGCCCCCTCCCCTCCCCCCGATGCCACCCTGCCCATGCTCACCAGTGTCCCGTCCGCCCCCGCTCACCCTCCCCCACCCCTACCCTTCGACGACCCCGACAGCTTCTACGCACAGGTAATGACGAAACACACTCAGTCGATTGCCTTACACATCCATTCACAATCTGTGTGTGTCATGTGTGTGTGCAATCAATGCAGGCTGGCGTGCCCCCCCCTCCCCCCTTCCCCTACCCCCCACCCGCATCGGAGCAGGACGGCCCCAACACCACCGTCAGCCCATGCTCATCGCAACTCAACCCATTCTCCAACGAGTTCTACCCATCAAACCCCGTCGCGTTCGTGCCCAGTGCTCCTGCTGGTGCTGCCGGCGGCGATGGTGCTGCAGAGATGGTGGCCATGTCGACTGGCTACTATCGCGAGGACGGGTGCTTCGTGCCCAACCCACCGCCGGCCGCTGCGTTTGAGTTCGACATGGCTGGCGTGGCCGTCGGTATGGGCGGTATGGGTATGGCCATGGGGCAGGGGGGTGTGGGCGTGGGTGTGGGTGTGGGTGTGGACGTGTGGGGCGGCGATGAGTCGGCCGCCATGCACATGATGGGGTTCGGTGAGGGGGGCATGGCCATGGGCGTCGGCGTGCCGGGCGTGGAGGGCATGATGGGCCTCCCACCGCCGCCAGAGGACCTCCCACCCGCCCCATCCACCGACACCCACACTCACGACACCACGGCGGCGGCTGGTGTGGCGAACGAGATGTTCTACCCGCCCCAGAGTGAGCAGCAGCAGCACCACCTGGCGTATTTCGATTCTTCGTCACCTCCCCTCACCTCCTACGCTCTCCAGTCGGCCGCAGAGGGCAGTGGCACCGACAATGGCCGCCCCGAGACCGCGACCGACAGCATGGACAACTCACAGGCCCTGGAGCTCTTCCAGCAGGAGCAGGAGCAGCAGCAGCAGGGCGGCACCGAGAGCTGATGGGGGTGGTTTAGAGGGGGGAGGGGTCGACCCACCGACCCGACCTGACCCACCTACTGACTGATTGATTGAGTGTTTGTTGGTTTGGTTCTGACCACACCATGCCCATCCATACCGCCAGGCCAGTGTATGTTTGTTTTTTTGCCCGTACGTAGAGGAGGGGAAGGGAGCGGGGAGGAGAGGAGAGGAGAGTAATTCAATGACTCTGGTTGAGCGAGGGACTGACTAAGGGCGGAGTGGAGAGAGAGGGCAAACAATGTCGTGGTGCTGCGTGGTGTGTTCTGATACTCACTCACTCACTGATCGTGTGTCGTGACTGTGTGTGTGGGGGGGCCCCGCTGCCACGTACGGTCGACACGTGGTGCCTTCTTTTTCCAACCCACCAGCGGGGGAGCGAAGGGCTTGAAAGACAGAAAGAGGGAGGGGGCTGTCGCATATATGTGCATCCATTCCATCCATCTATCGTTATTAGTGAGTCAGTGAATGGTTTGTGTGTCTGTCGGGCGGGCGGGCGGGCGGGTGTTGGTAGCGGCGCAGCAAGCAGGCAGGCAGGGCGCCTCAGGCGGCCCGTAAGCACTGGACGAAAGGGGAGAGGGAGACACCGATCGTTTCTTTTTTCCTTCTGTGGCTTCTTTTGTTTGTTGATCTTGATAACGAAAGGATTTCATGAAGCATGGGCTCGTTTTTCTCGCAATGGCCTTCCTTTCAACCCAATGCACCACCCCACACCCTGACACAGACACATGCATACGTACCGTACAGAAGTACAGTATGGTGCATGGTGCTCTTGTGTTGACTTTCATTGCTAGGGGGGCGAAGGGCAGGGGGCCTGTTGTGACGTGATCATTGGCATGTTTGTTTCCTTGTGCTCGTGTGTGTGGGTGTGTGTGTGTGTGTGTTGCATGCCATGCTGACTTGGGGAGGGCATAAGATGCCATGCTGTGTGTGTGTTGCATGCTATGCGTGAGCATCCGGACGGACACAGAGACACTTTGATTGAATTCCTTTCTGTCTTTCTGTTTGGGAGTGAGGGAATGGATGGAAAGCCGAACGAGTCGATCGCCGCTAACTGACTGACTGACTGACTAGCTGGTAATTTTATGGCTGGCTGGCTGGCTGCCGACAATGCGTAGCGACTGGCTGTCTATCTGCCTGTCTGTCTGTCTGCCTGTCTCTTATGTATGTTTGTAGATTAGTCTTTGCTCAGATGAGGGAGCACATCACACGCAGACACACACCACATTGGGGGAAGGGCAGGCAGAAAGGGGCAACGGGCGGGCGGGGCGTGCAGTGAGTGTTGTTTTGTTTTGTTTCATCATTGCAGTGAGTGAGTGTACAGTCAGTGAAGGAGTCATCTTCCCAACACATGACACACACACACAGGTAGAGGAGGGTCGGGCGAATATGAGAGAGTTTGCTGACTCGTCGTCGAACGTCGAGCGTGGTGCGTTGCGTTGCGTTGCGTGTTGTGATGTTTGGGGTGTGTGTGTGTGTGTGGTTGCTGTGTGGCTGTCTGTCTGTCTCTGTGAAGCACTCTATCTTCCGTGCTGTGCTCCAGAACAAAAGACACACAAACAGCACACCATGAGAGAGAGAGAGAGAGAGAGGGATGTCTGGCTGGCTGCGTGGCTGCCTGCGTGTGTCTATTTGTAGTTTACAATGGCGAGAGGAGAGAGGGAGCACACACACGCACGCACAGATCGATGGAGGGATGGACAGGCGGACTGGCGCAGTGCAGTGGCCACTGCTGTACTGTGCTGTGCTGTGCTATCCTCCCCCCCGATGCGGTGCGTCCGGGTGTGTCTCTCTCCCTGTGTTCGTACGTCTGTCTGTCTGTCTGTCTGTGTCTGTGTGTCTGTCTGTCTGAGTACGTATCTGTCTATCTGTGGCGCGGTATTTAATGCTGACTGACCGACTAACTGCGAGCGAGCGATGGTGGAAGGGAAGCTTTCAACAGGCTGACTTTCAAGAAGAGAAGAGAACAAAGAGAGAAAGAAAGAGACAACATGATGCGATGCGATACGTACGGTGCATGTCTGTGTCGTGTGGTGTGGTGGTTGTGTGGTTGTTGAGTGCATTGCATGCGCATACAACCAGGGGACAGCGCAGCACAGCATCTTCGGCTGTCTCGTCTCTCCTCGCCTGCTGCCGTATGTCACGTACGTCTCTCCCTGTGTGTATGTCTGTCTATCTAACGGGAAATGGGGGCCAGTGAATGTGCTGTGTCGTTTGCTTTTTTAATGACGGTGCCGGGTGCATGTGCATGTGCATGTGTGTGGTGTCGGGCAAGCAGAGAGGGACAGAGAGGGATACGTACCGAGTGGAAGGTATAGCAATGATGGGAGCTGCCGACCGTACCGTAACAACAAGAAACGCACACACACACACAGGGCGACGGACTTTTTGCGCCTGCCTACCTCCCTGCCTCCCTGCCTGCCTTTAGCTACCTGCGTACTGCGTCTGCCTTGAACAACCAACTAACTGGCTTGCTATTTTCTGTCACCGACAGGCACTTACTGGCTGACCAGAGAGGAGAGGAAGAGGAGATAGATACACGCGCACGGTCATTGTCGAGAATTCGGATGGCTGGCCGGATGGATGGAGCGAGGCGGCCCCTTTTTCCGTGCACTAAGGGCCAGGTGGCTGTGTGTGTAGGGGACTAACTAACTGACTCACTGAGAGAGGAGAGGAGAGGAGAGGGGAGGTGTTGGTATTTAAATAGCCGGCCGGTGATGCCAAAAACAACAAAAGACCAAAAACAGCAAAAAACTGCGTGTTGCCTGACGACGTGTGTGTGTGTGGACGTACTTGTGTGCGTGTGTTTGCAGTGTAGGTAGGTATGTTTGTTGACTGACCGACCGACCGACAGATTGGTTGCTGGCAGCTGTGGCTGGCACGCTGTGTGGGTGTGCACGAATGAGTGCGTGGCTGCCACACTGCCTGGGAGATTGGCTGAATTGACTTTCTGTCTGTCTGTCTGTCTGTCTGTCTGCGGATCGCTGGTCGGCTGCATAGAGAGGAGAGGAGAGGCGGTGTCGACAGTTTGCATCTGTGTGGGTGCGTGTGTGTGTGTGTGTGGTGGTTTTGCCGTTTTTCCCTGCCTGTGTGTGCTGACGGACATGTGCGCGTGGGTGGGCGGGTGTGAGTGCACACATCTTTTGCTGACTGTCGTCACGTAGCCGTCCTGTCTGTTCGAGCGACACTTGAGCACACCTACGTCCCTGTCTGCCGATGTCCCTCGCTCGCTCCTCCCTGCTTGCTTCTTGCCTTCATTAATGCTATCATGCCCACCTAATGACTTGCTCGCTCATTGTGGCTCCCTGCCTGCCTGCTGAATGCATCTCGATCTCGTTGATACCTACTTGAGACTCCACACCACCCATCGTAGTTTTGGCTGCCTCACTTCATCTGGTGTGTTGTTTCTCTCCCCTGCCTGCCTGCCTGCCTGCCTGCCTGATCGACCATTGCAGACTGACTGAGTGGCTCGTGCATCTGCAACACGTGTGTCTTCGGACGGAGAGAGGGACATGGACGAACGGCGGTTTGATATATCGGTTGAGGTTTTTTCATCGGATGAGTGAATGACCTGACGCAAAGCGATAGACGGACGGACGGATGGATGGACCATGGAGTGAGTGAGTGTCTATGTGTGGATGAGATCCCAGAGGAAGGAGGTGCGTGTTGTGGTTTGGTGTTGTGTTGTGTTCTGTGTAGTGTTGTGTTTGTTTACGTTACTTGCAATCAAGAGGGGCCGGATGGACGGCAGGGCGGGCAGGGCAGGGCATCGTTTGAGTGTTCGATGGAGCATTTTTGACCGCCGACTGTTTTGGACTGCCTGCCTGAGGGAGAGGTAGAGGGAGGGGAGGTGTCCTTGGTAGCTGGCCCTTGTCTAGAGGTGCTAATTCGGACACAACGCAACACAACAGACAGACAGACAGACACGGACCTGTGTGTGGTGTGTTGACTGTCTGCATTCGACGGCCCCTCTGATTCAGGAGTGTTCGTCGAGTGCTGGGGCACGACACACCACTCACGGAGGGCACACTCGTGAGGATAAGAAAGAGCTTTTCCCTTGTCACACTCATTCATTCATTGGTGTCGGCTACTCGGGTCGACTTTTTGCTTGCCCGTTCCTCTTGGCTGCTGGCGTTGGTCTGCGTGCACGTCGAGACACTTGCTCCTGGTGCTGTTGTTGCCTGGTGCTGCTGCATATTTGTCGTCAGAATGTCACCCCTTCGATCTTTCCTCCGTGCTCATGGCCGATGTGATGGATGAGTGCACCCGCCCTTGAGGCTGACTGACGGGACGGCTACCTACACACGTGCGTGCAGATGTCGATGGACGGATGACGGTTTTCACTTCCTGTGTGTGGTGCTGCTAGTGCTTAGCGAGACCGCCTGACTGGCTGCCTGGCTGCATGTGTGTGTGTGTGTGTGTGTGTGTGGCATGGGTTGCGTGTGACGGACACAACACATTGTGAGGTTATGCGTACACTGATCGGTCAATGAATGTCTGCATGCGTGAAGTCATGACATCCCGGTTTCCCACTCCACAAGCGATAATTACACACCAGTCCACACCATCAATCATTCTCGAGGTTGACGGCGGCGGCAGTTGAACTGATTCGACAGCGAGCTCTTCTCGTCGAGTGAGATTTTGAAGGCTTTTGTTCGCTCATCGAAGGTGAGAGGGCAGCGAGAGAAACAAAGGACGACTGACAATGCTTCACACAGCTGCTGCTGGTGTGTCTGAGCAGAGCTGCGTCGCTCATCGGCGAGGGCATCACTCTGAGGTGCTGGTGGCCATCGATTGGCGGCGGTCGGTGGCTCACTCGTCATCGCATCGACTGACATCGGTGAGGCAAAGCGGCGTGTCAATCAGTCTGGCGGGTGCTGCAGGACGCCTGTGCTGTCTGTCTGCAGAGTCATTCATTCACCACGGCTCGCTCCCCCCGCCTCTTTGCTGTCACAGTGCCTGTCTCAGGTGAGCAGAGCATCCCGCCCTCCCATGGCTCTCGTCTGACTGATTGCCATTCACTCGTTTGTGTGTCCTTCCACTTTTGATTCATTCAGATCTCTCACTCACCGATGGCGTCGTCATCGCATCAGATGCGTCCCACCACTCCCCAGCCCCCCGCCGCCCCTCCGGCAGTCCCCTCTCTGCGCGACCTTGCCATCACCAAGGCGGCAGACATGGCCATGTCACCCGACCCCGCCAGACGAAACAAGCTCCGTGCACAGATCGACGACAGCAATCGCGCCATAGTGGACGAGATGCTCACACTCGTCAAGCAGCGCATAGAGGTGGTCATCCGTCGTCTGGAGCTCGAGGACGTGCTGGTTTTCGACGTGTTTCAGTGCGCAAGCCGTCGAGCCAAGCGTCGAGCTCTGCGGAACGGCTTGAAGGTGTTGCATGTGCTGGAGCAGGGCAGTGGCGGCGAGTGGCGAGCGATGGGGAGGTTCATTCGGCTGGCCGCCATTCATCGGCTCACACCCAATGCCACTCTGCCGCTGCGGCTGTCGGCTAATGCGCTGCCCTCCCCAACAGCCTTCCACCAGCTGCCGCTCATCATGGCCCTCTACAAGACCATCGGCCACAGCCTCACACACCAGGGGACCAACCTGGCGCTGCAGCAAGGCATCGACGGGGCGTATCGGATCGGCAATGAGTCGTTCCGTGTGGTGCCGTTGGGTGAGCTGCCAGACGACCATGACTATCGCAGCTGCTACAAGCGGAGCGATCCGGTCATCCGATCGGACCACTTGCTTTTCCCCTTCTTCTCGTCGTTCCTCCTGCGCACGCTGCTCGAGCGGTGGTGCCGTGAGGAGGGGGGGTACGACAGGAGGGTGCTATGTGAAGCCATCAGCCACAATAACGACCGCTATCTCCGTCTGCTGACTGAGCCCATGACCGAGCAGCAGGGGGGAATCGCTGTCGACTACCGCTTGGACGACGGCAATCTGCATCACGCCAACCCAGCATACCGTCGTGACGTGATTGTGAGCGGCTTCCGGCCCAACGAGACCGTCGCTGCCCATCTCTGGGTGAGTGGGCGCAACATCAGTCTGTTGACGACCGAGCGACCTGAGAATGGCAATTTGTTTCAGCCGCTGGCCGACCGGTTCCCGGAGTCGATGCCCCGCTGGCGTGCCGTGCTGAGCCACTTCGAGCTGGCGGACGGTGTCATCAACAGTGGGATGGCGCTGAGATGAGGGGCGAGGGAGAAGACAGATGTTTGTGGGTGTTTGTGTGTGTGGTGAAGTGGCTGATCGCATTCACTTACATGGAATGGAATGGAATGGATGTCACCGTTTTGCCTCTTGACACATGCCTTCATATTCACCAGCTGCTGACTGTGCACGAGTGCATTGATTGGTCAATGAATGTCTGCATGCGTGAAGTCATGACGTCCCGGTTTCCCACTCCACAAGCGATAATTACACACCAGTCCACACCATCAAGTCGATAAAGCCGACGCACGCACTCCCCCACATCAGAACATCGATTCACAGACAGAAAAGGCCCAGCCCCACACGTAGCATCAAGCACACACGCCCGTCAGCACCCCGTCACAGCGTGCAGTGGCACGTTGTGGTGGTGGTTGTGCTCTCTGCTGCTTTCCGCATCCTCCCCTTTGTCCGCGGCCGTCTTGTTGGCATGGGGGTGCTTGGCAAAGGTGGCCGCCACAATCAGGGGAAACAGCACAGTCGCATCGCCATGAACCTGATACAGATGCAAACGTGCACACGCGCATCAGACAAACTCCCCGCGTCGACGCTGGTGGGTGCAAGCAATGCATTTATGTCCTGACCTTGACAGGTTTGGCTTCGCTTTTGATCTTGCCCCAGGAGACGGCCTCGTCCGGCCTGGCGCCAGAGTCACAGCCGTCATACTCCTGGGCTGCAATGACGATACGCACAGACGTGCAGATGCCATCCGTCCATCATCCACCC